GTTCGGTTCTTTCCTTTTTTGTTATAACATATTTTAGTGGTGCTTTAATTCAACTATTTTATTTATACTTTCAAGTCAAAGGCTTGAAATATAATTTTTAAAGATGGTTCTCAATGATAACATGATACATAAAAATATAAAACATCTAAATAGAATCATTCTGGTTTCTAAAATGAAGATTTGAAACTATATTTAAAAAACAATTGGAACATTGGAACCTTTAAAGAAACTATAAGAACCATAAATACAGTGTCACTATGAAAATAAGTTCCATTTAAGGTCTCAGGCATATTTATAAAAGTAAGGCAATTATTTAAATAATTTAATTTCAAGCCTGTTATGTTTTTAAGGATGATCAGCAGCAGCACTGTCAGCAATAGTACTGTCAACTAAACCTCAAAATATATCATCAGCAATCAACATGACTGGCATTATTCATCATAATTGACAGACCTCCATAATCAACTGTATCAACACATATTACTGAGTAAGTGCAATGAGGTAGATTTGGGAAATATGTGGTTTGTCCGGTGTCATCATATTCCAGTACTTAGGAAAACTGGACAGAAAGGACAGTGAGGAAGGATGCTTAGGGATACTGAGAAGTTACAAGTTCCCCATTCTCTAACTACAGCATGAAATTTGTAGAAAGGTCTTACTTTAAACAAAAAACCCCCCACATATTATGGCTTAGATTTGTGAACTCAGTTATAATCTCCAGGTTATTTGATTCAGCCTTAATTTTACTGTTCTTATCCATCTGTAATATGTATTCTGATATCTTTACAGATTTTCCAAAGCTTTCCCAAAATGTGTTGAAGGAAACAAGAGATAATAATAATTTTATTGTTTGTGGGCTATTCACATAATCATGAATCACATATTAAGACCCAAGCTTTCTGCATTTCCTCCAATGGCTTCATAAGGGTATTTAAAAATGTGATGCACAGCCTTCTGCAAAGCAACAGAATGCAAAGACCTGCGAACAGAAGTGGAATGATTGTGAGGAAAGCAAAGATAATACCAATAGTAACAGGCAGCTTGGGTGTAATCCCAAAACAACTAGAACACCACTTGAACACCACTGGCATTGACAAAATCACAATCAGTCCCAGCAAAAGGTAGCTTTACTTGGAACAGCTTACAAACTGCAACAATACACCATCAAATAACATTTGCTTATCCCAGGTCAGTGGGAACTTGATGGGTGGATAACAATGCCAAATCCAGTCTAAACATCTGGCTAACTGTACAAACAATTGTAATAAGTAATTTTATATGCTTTCCAACTATGAGCAACTCTGAGCAGCACATACATTTCATAAATTATTATTAGTTGTTGGGTATATATCATTCATGAGAGAACACAATCCAAGAAAGTAATTATTGGATTCTATCCTTGAATTTCATCCCTTGGAATCAAGATCAGTGTTAAGAAAGTATCACAAGGTACAATTTCTTTCTTTCTCTCCCTATCCTCCTCTCCCCTCTCTTTTCAACAAAAATGACTCTTGGTGGTTTACAACACAATAACAGAGCAAATAAATGGAAGTCACTAAAAACTTAAATAACCATGGAATAGCTGTAATGTGGCCATTTATTCCCCAAAGGACCTATGTAAGGAACAACTCTGTCTTTGACAGTTTCCAAAAGGCCAATAATTGAAGGGTGCCAATCACATCTTGAGAAAGGAAACTGTTTCATAATATACAGGCTGTTGCAGAAAAACATTGCTTGTAAATCTTGGTCCCCTTCAACTCCCCTACATTACAGGGCCATTAAAAGATACTGGTGGGAGGTCCACACTGGATGAGTTATGTAGGCCATCTCTATGAAGAGTTAGTTCTGCATCTTGGCCCCAGGCTTAATGGAAAAAAAACCGCAGTTTGAATTGCACCTGGAACCTTATTTGTATACAATGCAATGGTCATAGGATAGGCATTACATAACCAGACAAACAAGGAGTCTCATATAGAACACATTGCATTAATCCAGATGTGTGATGACAGCATGAATTTTAAAGTCCAAAAGAACCCTACACTTTTCCCTCAAGTAAAAATCATGACTATTCTGATTGGCAGACAAAATAACACATATATTGTGCCAACTTAAGCTCAATTATAGATTTCAGAACAAAAAAAAACCCACAACATCTTTAATGCTGTATTTGGGATGACACAGGACAAATAATCCATCCCCTTATCCTAAGCAATGAAAGAAGCCTTGGAGAAATGTCTAGCTGTTTAACTAAAGCCAATTGACAGAACAATGTTAAAACCATACTGAAATGATATTTTGGAAAAGTGATCTCTGAGAGGAATGGGGATGTTTCTGGCCAGGGCAATTGTGAGCTAGCTGGCTGGATAGTCCAGGGGGTATTTGCACAAATCCAGAGTTCCATGAGAGCAACCCTCTTTAATGAAATCAATGAAGGAAGATTCTAAATGATTACTTTATGTCCCCTTTGCAGCTGCTTGGGCATTCTTCTTTGCTTCTGGCAGCATTCCAAGCCTCTGATTCTGTTGCCTTGTCTGGAACAAAACGAATTCTTGAGCCAACAGATCAGGGTAACTTTAACAACAACCAAAAGAAGCAAAACAAAACCCACAATTACTCAAGCATACTGAAAGCCAGCATATTTTATCTCTTCTGTAATAAATACTAAATTTTCAACAGAAAAATTGGGTCCTACCTAATAGAGCTAGACAAGCTATTTCTTGGCTTCCATATTCAATCCACATCTTCACAACTTATAAAACTGTAAAAGACAGTGCACGCACATGTTCTCTTTGTGAGCTTGCCTGATTTTCTCAGGAAACCTATTGTATGTTATCATGTTGTGTCACTGGAAAGAACGTACTACTCTGTAACTGGTATTAATTCTCTAGAGAGAAGTAATCCAAACTTCATCACATAATGGCTCTAAAGTATTTAAGTAAAAACCTCTTTATCTTGCTTTTCAGGCAATCTATTCTGTTTGGAGTAGTCTTGAAGTGTTAATAGTGCCTTTAGAAGATAAGTAGCACAGCTTTATAACTGAAACCATTATACTGATTTATATTATTTTTAATAAATTATTGGGCATTTAAATTTGTTTAATTTAATCAATGGTACACTAGTACATTTTAACTATTATGAGTGTGGGTTGCAATTTTAAAACCTAGATAGCAGATGCATTGTGCCCAATTAAAAATGTTTTGATGAGATTATTTAATATACACATTTTTATAATCAACTTACAGTGATGCCAGGTGGCAAGACTAAATTCAGATCCATGCAATACAAGAGGATCCCAAATTTTAGTTCAAATCTGAACATTCTTGTAAAAAGCTTGAAAATCTAATATTGACGAGAAAGAGAATACAGTGTACTATGCAATCACAAACCACAGCTTTCTTACTAAGTCTGAAAAAAGTTCTCTGCAGCAGACCTATTTCAGTTTATTCACTTATGTTCCAAAATGCAATCATCATGCTTTGTTAAAAGTTATGGTTGGTGATGTTAAATTAGAGAAATGATTTGTGTTTAAAGGGACCACACATATCCTTAAATAATGCAAATAATATCATTAAATTAAAATTTGGTGTCCTATAGATTAATGAGAGACTCAGCAAATTCTGTACACCAATGGGAAGGACATGGTCACTGAAAATGAAATAATTTTGAAATGAATGTAGTAGGATTCATACAATACTGTAGGTTTTGTTCTGAAACCATGGGGTCTGGTATATGGTTCATGCTTCTTCAGTGCAGGAAAAAGAAAACAGAATTTTGGTTTACATACTGGCTATACAGATATGTATAGTAAAAAGTTAAGAGGATGTATCTTGGCACAATCCACACAATATCTATAGGTTCTTTCAGCATTTGAAAAAAGCCTTCATTATTTACATCACTAGGGAGGAAAAGAGCAGGTTTAAACAAAGGAGTATTTCAAATGAAGATGTCACCATTTTGGGGGAAAATCAACCAATGAGGCAACATACATTCCAACTCAAGTTAAAATTCAACTCTGAAATATGTCCTTCAAAAACGGTGTTAAGGGATTTCTCTTTTTTTTTCTCCTTCTGAGGCAAGTTCCCAGGTTCATGTTTTTCCTCCCCTCTCCCAAGTTGACAGTTTACCACAAACTGACAAATCTCCTCAGAAATTCCACAAGACAGTGTACCAATAAGAACCTATCCCATATTCAACGATTAAAACTAAAACTGGTTGCCCAAAGCCATTTTGGGTTTGTTTGTTTGTTTTTCTTCTTTTCTCATCCTGCCACTTACATGCAATGAAGGAGAACTCAAATTCCTGGAACTGGACAAATTTTCCCACTTTGCAGTTTCTGAAGAGAGACAGGCACTGGCAGAAATTAACCTCTCCTGAGGTTATCTGTAGAAGCAGAAAAGATGCCCAACTCTGCAAGCCAAAGACATTTTTGATGTTCATATGTCATGTTCTGAAAGTTCAAAGTTTCCTGCAGTTGCCGTGTAACAGATCAAAGGTCAGGTATTTAAAATAGCTTTAACACCGTTTCTTATAGCAAGTGACACCTGTCAACCCCAGCCATGGCATTTGCCGTTTTTGTGTGTGTGTGTGTGTGTGTGTGAAGAGGTGGGAAGAACTAAGCAGCGAGCTCAAATCTCAGTGAGTTCAAACCTCAGTTTGTTAGGAAATTCCCAGTGAGCTCAAATCTCAATTTGTTAGGAAGTTCCAGGATTACAGTTGCCAGAAGCCAACAATGCTGACGGCATCGGAGGACCAACAGGGACCACTTAGCATTTCACGAAAACAAACGAAGGTGAGGAAAAATCAAGAAGAAACATACGTGTTTGGGTTTTCTTTTTTTAACCTCAGATGGAAACCTCGATTCAGTCACACTGATCTCAAAACAACCACACTACACACACCTGTGAGTCCACCTGTCACTCCGCCCCCCCCCCAATTGGGAAGCTAGCTACTCTAATAACCCAAGAGGGGAGAGAGAAGTGTGGGGACGCAACGTCTCTTACCTGTGGAGCCGAGGAAAGGAGCCACAAGGTGACTGAAAAGAGCGAGGCAACTCTCCGGCCACACAGTGACTGCCGCCCTGGCGCTGCCATGATTTTAATCCACCCCTCAGTTCCAAGGGCGGGAAAAGAGGGAGGCGCGCAAATTGCGCCCCGATCCCTTCGGACGCCTCCTGTTTTGAATCCCGCCGCCTCCTCCTGAGAAAGCGCCCGGGCTCTTCGCCGCCCCTCGCCTCGCAAGAGGACTCCCTGGACGGTCAAGACGGGCGCGGCGGGGACGGGACACGCGCTCGGCGGAGCGGCACCTGAGGGAAAGCCGCGGGGGGGGGGAGGAAGGCAGCCGGATTTGCGCTTCTGCCGCGTTCGGGAAGGCAGGACGGGGGTGGGAAGCGCGGTGCTGTTGCTGCTCCTCGGTTCCCCTCGGTGTGTCTGATTCGGCGACGAAAGGTGGCCGGGGACAGCGGCGAGGAAGCACCACTTCGCCCGTGGGGCTGTTTCCTCTCACTTGGGCTTTCTCGCCTCGGCTGCAGCGTCGGGGTTCACTTGAAGCGCTACGCGTGGAGAAAAAGCACATTTAAAAGACGTCTGCAGGGCGGGCGGGCGGGCGAGTGGAAATGGGCGTCGCCCATCTAACTTGCCTTAAAGAGATACCGCTGATTTCCCCCGAGGAATAGCCTCGTTGGATCGGAATTCGACGCGCGCCGCTGGACGCACCGGCCTCCCTCGCGAGGCAGCTCCTTTCTCCGATTGGGAAGCGAGTCCTGATTTCATCCAGGCAGAAAGTGTGTGGCCACTGCCCTCCCGCCTTTAACTGGGTGTATGACATACTGTAGATTGGGGGGGGGGGAATCAATTGTGGTTTACCAGATGTCTATTTACAGCTCCTTCACCTGCCCCAGGACCTTGCAAGCTTGCATTTAAAGCTGCTTACAGTATTGTCTGTACACCCCCAAAATAGGCTTTGTGAAGTACAGGTAGTCCTTGACTTATGATTACAATTGAGTCCCAAATTTCCATTGTTAAATGAGATGGATGTTAAGTGAATGTTGCCCCATTTTAAAACTTTTCTTGCCATAGTTGTTAAGTGAATCACTGCAGTTGTTAACTTAATAACACGGTTGTGAAGCGATTCTGGCTTCCTCATTGACTTTGCTTGTCAGAAGGTCGCAAAAGGGGATCACATGACCTCGGGACACTGCAAATGTCATAAATATGAGTCAGTTGCCAAGCCTCTGAATTTTGATCATGTGACCATGCTGCAATAGTTGTAAGTGTGAAAAGGGTCGGAAGTCACTTTTTTCTGTGCTGTTGCAACCTTGAATGGTCACTAATTGAACTGTTGTAAGTCAAGGACCATTTGTATGCCAGAGAGATTACTCAAACACAGAATCTATTTTTTTTAAAAAGACTATCATTGACACAGGGAAATTTCTCAACAAACATATTACATACAAGTGTATTTCATTATAAATGAATGCTCCTGACTCTTCCTGTGATTCTTAGCGGCAGCATAGCTACTAACATTTATTTGTTCATCTCACAGTACCAGATACATGCCTACTCATATAAAATCCTCCTTAAGCTGCAGGGAAGGAAAAGAGAACCACTTAAGGCGCTAACCACCCTGACCCCATAGTGTGGTGGCCTAATGAGTTCCTTGCCAATGTATTCCCACTCCCATTGGTTATGCCAGCATTTATGCAATGCCTGCATTCCACCCACAGGGACCCCTCAATGTTCTTCATCCACTTCTGTAACCCCAAGACCAAGGAAAAGAGCTGCACCAAGCAAAAACCATTTCCATATGTGCCAACTGCATCTCAGTAGGGCCATCCGCTCATTATATCTCTATGTTTGGTGTTAGCACTGGTTCATTTTTATCCTTACGATAACTTCCCCATAGTATGTCCATGCTTTCCTCACCAAGGGAATCCATGCATACTATCCTGCAGAGAAATGTATGCACTCTCTTGACAGTAAGGAAGGAAATACAACAATACAGTATGTCCTAGGAGATAGGGAGCTGCTGGACATATGGCAGGATATATCGCAAATAAAACCCTCCTAAGATGTATCATCTCCTGATGTGATTATATATTTCTTTCTTTCTAACCTACGCTTTTTTTTCCCCGCAGACCCAACTTTTGGAGAAGATAGAAGACTCTCTAAATGTCAACAGCCTTCATGTTGTAAGTACCAGTACTCCTGTTTCTTGCTAGGGGTGCTGATGGCATTATATGCCTTAAACTTACCCTTAGCAGACAAGATGGAAAAACCAGCATAGACACCTACTAGCGTAGTGTCATGTCATCTTCTTATAAGAGGCAGAAAGCAGCTTTTTTATCTCTGTGCAAGTATAGAAAGAAGACATGCATAGCTTCATCTGCATAAAAGAGTTAGCACCAAGGAGCAAGCCCATAGTGCTGTACCTAGAGGAGTGGTGGCGAACCTATGGCACGCGTGCCAGAGGTGGCACTCAGAGCCCTCTCTGTGGGCACGCACCATTACTCCAGCCCCGGCTCCCTCCACAGCCCCCCAGAGAGTCGCCCCCAGGCACGATCCACATGGAGCAGCGCAGCCAAGAACATGACAGCCATGCAGCAGGGACAAGACTCCACCTTTGCGCCCTGACGCGTGCAGATGATGCTGCTGGGTGCGGGTGGAGGGTGTGGCTGCCATGGCGCTACAGGGCCACCTAGGTGATCTGTGGCAGGCCATGGAGGCAGTGAGTAGCCCTGCAGGGGTGGAGCAGGGGGCGGAGTGGGGTGGAGCAGGGGCAGGTGGCAGAGCAGGTAGGTGGGCCAGGGGGTGGAGCGGGGCAGTTTTTGGACACTCCGTCTCTAAAAACCTTCGCCATCACTGACCTAGAGTGGCTGGCCAGCTGCCACAGAAGCATTAGTCATGGCTACTAGGCTACAAAATTGGCTGGATCTAAGCAAACACTGTGCTCATGTCCCATTTTCCCATACTTAGCCACATGCCTGTAGGACCCTTATTTCCAGAGTACAAAATTTTCCAGTCACGCCAAGATGCTCATATTATGTGGGCCAAGCCTTGATAAAACATGGCTGAAGGAAGAGTATCTATGTTCGCCTGGAAGCCGCCAAGCCTCCAACATAGGGTATCTGGAGCACCACATTTAAGGTTGAGCACCACATATGCAACCATGCCAGGAGGGCCTGGCAGGATTGTAATGCAGAGTGCCATGAATTCATAACAATAATCAAAAAATAGGTGCCATGTGCAAATTCAGATCATTTGAATTTCATTTAGTGACTATTTAAAGTTACAGTGGCACTGAAAAAAGTTACTTACAAATGGTCTTCATACTTGCTGCAACCCCCATGGCCACAGCAACCAGCACTGCAACATCCCAGGCTCATGTGAGATGACCTTCTCAGCTGGCATCTGACAAGCAAAGTCAATTGAAGAAGCAGGATTCGCACATGATTCACTTAACAAATGGCAAAAAAGATTGTGAAACCTAACTCCAACTGTACTAATACCCACACATGGTAACAATTAGTAGTTTAACATGGAAACCCTAAAGCATTTAATACAATATTATATACCGGTAGATACAAACTTGTTTGCATCCCTTAGATATTACTTAGAAGAAAACCTACTCTAGTTGTCTGTCTTTGCTAAATAGAAAAGTACTAATTAAGTCAATGTAATTGTTTATAGCAGGTAAGTCTACAGACTATTAAGAACTCAGAACTCTTTAGGATACCTCAGATACCATTCTTAAAATATTTGATAATTGAAAAAAAACAATTCTCAGATATAAGTACTTTGTCCTGCATATAAAGCCTGCTAATAAAATTATAAGACACAAGCAAAAAGGAACACTGTCATCCTGGAATTATGAAAAATACAGGTTCAATCCCCCAAACTCTTGCAAAGTAACAACAATAATTGTTATATTATTTCTCAGCTTTCATCATGAGTACTATATATGTGAATACTCCATTAGAATATAATATCTGAATATTGTACTTGGATCATTGAGAAAGGACACAGCTAACTGAAAAACCAAATCTGTTGTATTGGAATCCTAAATAAAACTAGTTGGTGTTTAAGCAGCTTGTATACAGGCTGAAAATAGACATAGCTGTCTTCATATTTTGTGCATTATATAAACTGTTGCTGAGATATTTTGCACGTCTTCCTCATAGAAAAATGAGGATGTTTGTTAATTTTTTAAACTTTCATATGAACTTCCTTGACTCAAAGATAAGGGAATATGTGAGATTTATACTCATTTGCTCTAATGAATCTTCAGCCTGATGTGCACATGGGGAATTCAAAGTATTTTAAAAATTATGTCTACCAACTATTCATTTAGCTAATACAATGCTATGTTTCATTCCTTCTCCCAGAATATGCAAATCATGGTTAACTATAAATATAAAGATTCTGCTTTACATTTTTATTTTGCACATCACCCAAAACATAATTAATATGGTAGCTTTGCACAACTCTTTCAGCTATAATTCATGCCTTACAACAATATTAGCGATCATAACAATTTTGTGGCTTAACACAATGAGTTGGGATTGGATTTTAACTCTTCCTTTGAAGAAGATGTGCTTTGTTGCCTAAAATGCATTCTTGTTATGGAACGCTCTTAACTATATCTATTCTGGCATGGTAAGAGTTTAAATCTTCAGAATTATGAGCCAATTATATTTGAAGGAACAATTCAGGATGTTTATATCTTCACCCAACCACATATTTATTGGGCATATTCACATCCCTTGGGAGTATTGGAATATGCATACAGTTTCATATGCTATTTTCCTCCTCTTCTTACTGTCACCAGAGTAAACCGAAAATGAAACTGGGAAGGTTTCCATTTGCTTCAATAGGTGTTGGATCGGTTTTCTTGTGAATAATGAAATAGGTAGGATTTGTACTAAAATGGTACAAAAGTACCATAGCTGAAATGTATATTTGGATATAAACATCTGAACATTTTCCACACAGAAAACAAAAACTAGCCCAATATAAGTAATGTATTTCTAAAAAGCATTCCTTTTCCATATGCAAAGTGGACATTGATAGAAGAATGAATTTCAGTTACCTTTTCATGTAACCAAAAAGCTACAGAAATATGCTAGAAGAAATTACTGGCATTCATTAATAATTAGACCAAATGTCAATGTGTAGAGAGATCATTCTCTGAAATTCTAAGAAGGCATGCCAAATTTCACACTAAAAATGTACTGCCCTTTTCCCCCTAATGTTTAAAATGATCTCACAGCCTTTTTACGAAGTTAGAATATTGCTTTGAGGTTTTAAAAACGAATTAATATTTTCTTTTTTATTTTTAAACTAACAAAATCAAAAGTTAATAAGATCCCCAAAGACCTGTAAACATTTCTATAAACTTCTTCTGCATGAGTTTTTTTAGAGAGATTCAAGTGCTTTCCCAGAGTGTAATAGTATAAATATTATATAGATGAAATTGTCAAAACCCTGTGAGTATGTTTGTATATCCTAGTCTTCAAGTATAAAAAATAT